TCTTCTTCCATCGTTAGGCTCGAGACTTCATTGTCTTCTTCGATGGTTAGGCTCGAGACTTCGCCATTTAAAGAAGAGACTTCGTCTTCACCCGTGACAGATGGAGCTGGTGAAGCATCAGTGCTCGTGCATGTGCTAGTGCATGTCGTAGTCGTGCTGTGAGTCGATGATGAATCCGAACTCGAACTTGAACTCTCTGATGATGATGATTGTTGCTGAAGGCTCCAATACATTATACTTGCCGTTAAAATTAGAATCATCTTCTGATTCACCTGCAACAGAAGATATTAAAAACCTCAGATTTACATTTTGATATATGTTGTGTCCTCGTTTAGGAAGATTTAGATTCCGTTCGTTACCTCCACGATATCTTCCGGCAACAAAAAGACCGAGCAACCAAGCTTTCTTGCTACGCTGACAATGTATGTAGCATTCAATCTCTTCTCATCATCTGTAAAAAGTTTCCATAGCCAAAAAAGAACAATTAATCAAATTCAGTTTGAACAGAGAGGAGAAAGAGAGTAGAGAGGTTGTGAGTGTAGTTAGAGAGAGTAAGGACCTGATTCACCCTTGGTGACGAGATTCCAGTTAACAACTCTTGGCTCAACCGCCCATAGAAGATCGAGGAAGAATAATCCGCTGGATAGACTCTTATCCTATGAAAGTTTAGCAAGACAGATTTTATTCAACATAGCTTGTTCAATTGATTTTTTCTTTAGTTTTGCTGAAAGTAAAAGATGGAACCTTGAAGCTTTCGATCTGCGATTTTCGCCCCATGATTTTGACTTTCCTGTTTGCCCAGCTTATGATTTCTGAGTCGGTCATGTCTTTTCCTCGTGTCCGAGATCTGAGACTCTTGAGAAGTTGGAGCATATGGGTTCTCATCAACTGCCATAAGAAGCCTGAGACATGTATATACTCCTCCACTGTTATACAATTTCATGTATATACAACTTATAAAAATAAACATATTGTAGATAGCTAAGCGGAGTAATTACCAAGGATAAGCTTCTTATTCCCTTGAACTATGTCATTCCCAGCTACATTTACGAGCGAGAATCTCATCTCTTTCCCAATCTTCACGACTTGATTGCAATTCTCTACTTTTCTAAACGGCATTTTAATTGGTGGTTTTGAAGCATGCTTCCAGTTAACTGAGCCTGGATAGACCTTGTCGACAACTTCCAGAAGAATCCATCTGCATCAGAAGTAATAAGTATTAAGAAACTTATGATACGTTTCAGGACCAAAAAAGCTTATAAATATTTTCCATACCAAATGCTTACCCATTTCTAACATCTTCAAACACATTATTGACGTAGCTCTCAATCCCGAGGCTGTTAATCCATAGCCGGTAACATCTTTCATCTCTGCAAGTCTGTAAATCCTCAGTCATCATTTCCGCAAAGGAGAACCTACCATCAGTGCTAAGGCCATTCCTGCATCAGGCACAGAGAAGCTAGTGTGTAAAAACCAGTGCATAAGAGAGTAACCAATCTTTAATGTTCTTTTTCCGACCTTTCGTGAAATATCTGTGCCACAAATGCGAGATTCAAATACGAAGACCCCTCAACTAGTTCCTCTGCAGTCAAATACCGTTTGCAGTTCATTCTCTCTGCGTGTTCGAGGACCATGTTAGCCCTTTCAAGATCATCCTCTGCATTTAGAGTAGCTGGATCGCAATGCTCTGGTGCGAGAACATTAAGTAGATAAGCATAGGCCTGTGCATCCTGCATAGTCAACAATCTCAACCGTCAAGATTAAGAAAAAATACCAAACATTTTCATAACTAATGAGTGCGCCGTCGTTTTCCCTATTCAAAGTGATATTGCTTCAGCGTGTTGGAGAGAATTACGTGTTAGAAACACACGATGAATCTAGAAATCTCTTGAATGAAGCTTTTGAAGGGACACAAAGAAGATTTGTTTCTAAAATTGCTACTTGGAAAGCCAAATACCTTCAGATCCGATGAAAAATTTCCAACAATTTTTTTGTAACCACCTTTCTTGAGATGGAAGTTCATCCATTTGAGTAAGACTTTCTCCGGAGGTAATCTCAGAAATTCTTCTATATCCTGCAACAGACAGAAACTCGTTACTATAATTTACGACATGGTTATAGTTTGGTCAGAAATTCGCAAAGAGATTAGCAGGTCATTACCTCGTTGTCCTCCACCAACTCAACAAGTTGAGGCATCTTCTTCAAACTAAGATCAGCGAGCAGTTGAATCTGCAGTTCCAAACATTAGTTAGTAAATCATCAAGCACAAACAGAAAGGAAGATGCACATAGCAAACAAGTGTGGACCTTTATGAGTTGTGAGATCAATCCAAGCACCAGATGAGGCTGCAAAAACAATGAAACATCTGCGGTCAGAATCTTCTATATTCGTCTCAACTGATATATTATGTTATACTGAAAACTAAGCAAGCAAAACATACTCGTCCTTCAGCTAGGTCCTGAGTCCCAATATTAACCACACTGCAGCCAACAGCTTTCGCAGAGTTGAGACAGAGCGTGTGATTCTCATTTCTCTCCCATGGGTTAAGTACCCTTTTCGTGTTGATGGCTCGCTCATCTATTGTCCCAGGAACTGCTATATTAATAAGCTTACTGTGCCAAAAAAGGAAAAGGGGGAACAATAGTCAAAACCAAATGTACTAATGTTGAGACTGAAATCCAAAACACAAATTTTCACATTAGTTCATTACCATAAAAGCACACCATCTTTCACAAGTTCATACAAATCATTAGAATCCGGATCTAAAGGAAGAAACTGCATCAAAAACGGGTCATCCCCTAGATATCTGTTAATGTGAAGAACAAAGGAACCCTTCTCAGACTGGTTAATGGTATGAAGAGTCGTTGTGCCGGCTTTAAGAAATGAAGATGAATGCTTAAGACCACCAGATTTATCAGCAGCTTTATCTCGCAAGTTTAGATATACCTTCACACACATTACACATCAAATTCATCAAATAGCTTCACAAGAACAAACAAAACACAACACAACACAGAAAGATGAAACTAACCTTGAGAAACGATTCGAAATCAAGATCATCATCACTTTCATAATCAGAACCCAAACCTCCCAAGAGTTCTCTGATTTCTTTCTCCTTAAAGGCTGAACTAAGTGACTTCACCTTGACCAACACAGACGGAAGATCCTCTAATGTAACCTTACCACTCTGACTCTTCAACGAAACAAACTAAAAAAAAAACACAAATACCAAAAGACTTATATCCAGATCAAAACAAGCTTCTTTTAAGATTGCATCCATGGAAATTACTTAAACCAATGAGAAAGAGAGTGACTTGAACCTTGGAATTAAGACTCCGAAGCTCGACTTGTGTGAGCTGACTTTGTAACCATGGATCCGAAACAATAACACCCACAAAACCAGTCATCTCCCCCCCCCCCCCCCCCGTTACAATCCACGGGGAAGAAAATCTAAATCTTCAAAATCACACCAATGTAGAAACTTGTCCCTGCAAAAAAGAATCACTGTAAGAATCAGAAAAATCAAAACTTTGGGACAAAACAAAAAGAAACAAATTTACTATCGATCCAAAGATTTCATACTTAAAATAGCAATGTTGTTAAAAACATTACAGCAAGATTCAAACAGTTAGATTAGGTAAAAAACGTGACTTTCGATTCCAGAAATCTAGGAGAATAAGAAAAAAACAAACCCCAAATGTATCGAAATGAGAGATTCTGCTTTGAAGAATCAATAAACCAAAGTTCTTCTCTGTGTATATTCAATCGATGTTAATGTTTCTTTCTTCCAGAAAAACTAGGAAGCAAGAATCGAACCACCACAATGTGAACAAGAAGAAGAAGAAGATGATACGGTAGAGAAAGAGAGAGAGAGGATCGTTATTTGCTTCGTGTGAGAGCAAAGAAAGAGAAAACGAGTTTATGGTTGTGAAATTGAATGCTTAATCAGAATCGCGAGTAGGGTTTGTTTTTTCGGATTTAAATACTCGCTGTCTGATGACGACATGTGGAAGAAACAGTGGACCTCACGGTTTAACGACTTGTGTAGGTGTCATTTCTAAAATGGACTACAATTTTTGTATGCTTTTCGACACTTAAATGTTTTTCTCTATTTACTTCGTTACAAAAAATGACATTAACTAACCATATATAGATGAATGATTTTCGGGAGATATTGATATTTGATAAAAAAAATTGGAAAAAACCTAAATTTTTTGTTTACTTATTTATGGGAATTTTAGATTTTATGAACGAAACAAAGATCTTCTCCACCGACGTTTTAAATATTTTGCTGATTTCTTAAAAAAAAACCATGTGTGGTACGCACGACGGCCTACTATTTAAATTGTGTGATAATAACTTCAGTCTAGGTGATATTGAATTTAATATTTCTACTAGAACGCGAATCTTTCTATGAACAAATTCGACAGAAAATGTAAAAAAGTTTTACACCATAATTTTTAGTCAAACAAAAATGTCTATTATATAATTCAACGGTATGGTAAGATTTCCTTAAACTTTTGCCGTCTAAAATTTTTTTAAGGCAAAAAGACATAAACAGTCAAATAATCGTTTTAAGATATTACAGTATTTTGATGTTTTATTATTGATTATATTATTGAAATTAAAGATATTAATTTGTTGAGAAGTGCAAAACAACATTAATATATACTATTAAAAACTATGGTTAACATGTTAAATAGCACAATCTTAATTTTTTCAGAAATACAAAATCATTAAAAACCAATCTTTATTTAACAAGTGATGATAAAACTTTTGAATACTATATTGAATTATTGATGATAATAAACAAAATTAAATTTAAAGCCAATAATTACGATCAAAACAAACGGCGCCACAATGGTCACGCAAAGAAAGAGTAAAAAAACTCTTTGTCATTCACCGCCCAGAGACTATGGCATGCAAAACAAGTAAGCCTTTCTCACATTTGTCCCTTTCTTCACACATCTCAACTCAAAACACTCCTGATCACATCACCCACACTTATCTTTTACGTTACGCTCTTAAATTACTACTACCTTTTTAGTTAGCATTTTAGCTTTGTTTATAAACGAGCCCATGATCATAAGGGGATTCACAAGTAGAATCTAGAGAAAAGAGAGAATGGGTAAGAACAATACCAAATTCCTTATGCAATTTGCAGCTCTTGCAATGGTTTTAACCGTTGCAATAATGGTGAAAGAAGCTACAAGCATGTCCATTTGTAACATGGACACAAATGATATGCAGAAATGTCGTCCAGCCATCACTGGAAACAATCCCCCGCCTCCTGTCAACGAGTGCTGCGTAGTGGTTCGAGGCGCTAATCTCGAATGCTTATGCAGATTCAAGTTTTATCTCCCGATTTTACGAATTGATCCATCTAAAGTCGCGGCTCTTGTAGCTAAATGTGGTGTTACAACAGTCCCTCGTGCTTGCCAAGGTATTTTCATGTGATTATTGAATTTGTGGTAAGATCTTGAAAGTAAAGAAAGAGTGTAACGTTTTTTATTCGCGCAGTTTGAAGAAATGAGCTGAGGATAGGTCTCTCTATGGTGTTTTAGACTTCGCTGGATCTTGTCTTGCATCTGAATTTACAATGTTTTGTTATCGTTAAAGTGAATTTACAATGTTTTTTAGTGTTCTGTTTCAAATAAATCACAAACTTTTAATGATTTTAGATTCACCTTATGTGTGTAGAAGAACCGTGTGCTATACGTTAATGAAAATTGTGAAGTACTAGTTTTTTTGTCCTCGACGATCCAAAACCTATCTCACCATCATGCCTTTCTCCATGGAGAGAATTAAACTAAAAAAAAAATCTGTTAATAAACAGAGAACTGTTCACGTTTCATGATTATAAATCATAATTCTTGGTTCAAAATCTGATTGCTGACTTGTGGTAATAGAAGATAGACAACATTCTCCGGTAGCAGTGGATAGTGACACAAGCTTTCTTTAGCTCTGTTGAAATTGGTGACTTGTATAATACGGAAGCAGATCACAAAACCATAGACTTGTTCTTACATGACAAGAAGGCAGTCTTTTGATTTGTACACAGAAAAATACACGACTTGACAAAGACAAAACAAAATACAACGACCAAAAGTCATCGGTGAGAAAAAAGTCTCCCACATTTGTCCCACTTATTTATACATTTCAATTCAAAAGACGACTTGTCTAAAAAGACCCGTGACTAAATAATAAGCTCATTAGATTAAAGGGTTTCACAATAAAGTTGAGAGAAGATTAAAAAAGAGAGAATGGGTAGGAACAATACCAGAATCCTGATGCAATTTTCAGCTCTTGCGGTGGTTTTAACCGCTGCAATAATGGTGAAAGAGGCTACAAGCATTCCCATTTGCAACATCGAGACAAATGACTTGGGAAAATGTGGTCCAGCTTTCACAGGCAACAACCCGCCACCTCCGGGACCTGACTGCTGCGCAGTGGTCAAAGCCGCTAATCTACAATGCCTTTGCCCGTACAAGCCTTTCCTCTCCAGGTTTGGGATTGATCCATCTAAAGTCAGGCCTCTTCTTGCCAATTGTGGTGTAAACACTCCTCCCTCCTGTTTCTAAGGTAAATATCAAAGTAACCGCACGATTTTACTGTTCTTTCTGGAAATAGAGAAAAGTCTTACGTTTGTTTTGTTGTTCCTTCTGTAACAAGCAGCTTGAAGAACTGAGCTGAACTGCTGAAGAGTGAAGACACGCCGGTATGCGGTATGCCGCATACTAATTTGTCTCGACCTAATGTCTCTTAAGCTATAATATGTCTTTTCGTGTTCTAATTCGATTAAATCACCAACTTTGTAATATGATTTTTCAGTTTCATAGATCTGTTTACATGACAAGAAGACACTCTTTTGATATTTACACAGAAAACTACACGACTTTTGACAAGGATATATAAAACAAGATAAAACGAAGGTAAAACAACAAATCAATTTAAACATAAGCATTTCAAATGGGCATGAAGAAATTAAATGCGTGCATATGAATTGAGTGATGTACAGTATGTAGTTGGCTTGTGCGGAAAAAGGAATCAAAAAGAAAACCACAAAATACACTAAATTATCAATATGAAAGCTTTCCATTTCTGGGATTTCGCATCTCGAGTTCATTGAGGGAAATAGAAAAAAAAAACAAAAAAAAAATTATGGGAAATTTTCTAATTATAAGAGAGAAGAGAAATTAGGGTTCTTTGGACGCAGGAACGAGAAGAGAAAAAAAAAAATGGCGCTGTTTTTCAGCCGAATCTCAAAGCTCTCTGTAAGATACTATCTTGAACCTCCCAATGTAATACTTTCTTTGATTCTTGGTTAGTAAGTCCGATTTTTGGTTCATGGAAATTGACAGGTACGCAAGAACAATGCTCGTTTCTTCTCATCATTGCCTCAGTCCCCATGCTTGGTGCTGACCACTAAGAAGTTGCGAGAGTCTCCAGAGGAGGGCCTAATCGTGCATCAGAAGTTATTCGACCCGACAACAGAAAAGAAAGTGTACAGCAAGGAGAAGAAGTATCCCAAAGAGCTTCGTGGAGCTCCTCTTCTGGGAGCATCGAAAGGTTGGGTCGCTTCTTTCAAGGAGAAAGACATTACCGTGCATCTCACGGATCTGTACAAGCCTTGTGTCTCATCTCCACGAGTCATATCATTACCATCACTCCGGTCTGAGTATAAACCCTCATCTTATGCCACGGAAGTGTGTCTCTCTTCTTCTGATCCTGTCCAAGACGACTATTATGTGGCTGCAAAGTTCAATGACTATCACGTAAGCGTATGTAGGCCTCGACGGGGCTCTGAGTGGACTCACAACAGGACCGGTTACACTCTTTTACCAGCCTCTGAGCTCATGTACTCCAAGAGAGACAAAGCCTTCCACTTTGCGAGTTTTAAAGGTCTCTACATGGGTTCTCTGTATCTCAGTAACAACGACGAGATCAAGTATAAAGAGATACGCCTTAGAAACCTGCCTAAGATTCCAGAGGCAGGTTGGGAGATGTTGGATAAATGTTCCCTGACCAACCACTTAGTGGAATCTCCCTCTGGTGAACTTTTTTTCATCAAGTGGTACGTATTTTTCGAATTTTTTTAAGAGTTCAAATCAAGGTAGAGTAAGAGATATTGAGCTACTTGTTTCTCTGTCTAGGTACACACAGTGTCTTCACGAAGAGGACGAAGATGGGGATTTGGAATTTATCCACAGCAGTACTAAGCGGTTCATGGTCTTTAGGCAAGATGGGACGAGCAAAGACTTTTGTTACACTGAAGATATTGGAGATCTCTGCATCTTCCTTAGCGGGAGTGAAGCCTTCTGTGTCACGGCAAGCCTGTCCCCCGGGCTCAAACCTAACTCCATCTATTACCTTGGCCCTAGACTTGGTTCTTACGATCTAGCTTCTGGTACAAACAGTCCATTCAAGTTCGATCGCTTTGGTAAACCCTCACTGGTTGTCCCTTTCTGGATCCATTCGACCTCTTCTCTGAGTTCTAGCTAGGATCTGGGCCTGCCTTGTACTTTTGTGTCTTGTGTTGTTCCTTTCTGGATCCTTAGACTTGTTAGGGTTAGGGTTTGGGTTTGTGTGTGATTTGGAGATTTGAATTTTCTAATCTATATATGAAGTTATTATATTATGTCACAAGGCCTGGAATTTTCCAGAGGTGTTTCCTAAGTTCCACAGCTCATAATTTCCTTTGATCGTTTCATTCTCAATGACTTTTCTTACGTGACAAGAAGACAGTCTCTTGATAGTCTTACACAGAAAACTACACGACTTGACAAGTACAAAACAAGATAAAAACGACCAAAAGCCATTAATCACGCAAAAGGAACAAGCTCTGTAATTTACCAACCGGAGACTAAAAGTCTCCCACATTTGTCTGTTTGTTTACACATTTAACTGGAATGACAACGACTTGGCTAAAAATACCCGTGAGTCTACCTTGTATTAGCTCTCACTTATCATTAACGTTGCTATATAATAAGCTCATTACATGTAAGAGCTTCACATATCACAATAGAGTTGAGAGAGAAAGAGTGAAGATTTAAAAAAGAGAGAGAATGGGTAAGAACAACACTAGATTCCTCATGCAATTTGCAGTTCTTGCAATAGTTTTATCCGCTGCAATAATGGTGAAAGAAGCTACAAGCATTCCCGTTTGCAACATCGATACAAACGACTTGGAGAAATGCCGTCCAGCCGTCACTGGAAACAACCCTCCACCTCCCGGACCGGACTGCTGCGCAGTGGCCAGAGCTGCTAATCTACAATGCCTCTGCCCGTACAAGCCTTATCTCTCTACTGTTGGGATAGACCCATCTAGAGTCAGGCCTCTTCTTGCCAATTGTGGCCTAAACAGTCCTTCCTGTTTCTAAGGTAAAAAATCAAAGTAACCTCAGGATTTGCTCACTTCTTTCTGTAAAGAGAGAAAATCTTACGTTTCTTTTGTTGTTCCTGTTGTAACACGCAGCTTGAAGAACTGAGCTGAAGACAAGCCGGTCTACCGCAGACTTTGTCTTGCCCTGAAGTCTCTACGCTATAATATGTCTTGGGTTGTTCTAATTCGAATAAATATCAACTTTGCAATGCTTTTTCAGTCACCTTATCTATTATATAGATGAACCATGTTCTACATATTAATGAAATGAATAAAGTACTGGTTTTACGCCTAAATCCATTATTTACTACTACTTCCTTCCTTGATTATCTAGACAAGTCACTGACCCCTTTTGCCTCTTCCCTGCAAAGAACCCATATCATAATAATAAGAAATGTAACATAATTCAATCTTTTCACTAGAAAAGAGCAATACATAACATTACTAGGCATTTGTAGTCGACAATATTTGAAAAGTGACTGTACACAATATGATAGCATCTTAACTCTTAACATATTAAACTCTAACGTTGTCTTAATCATTACTACTAGGAATTTATTAGCAATGTCGAAATGTACTCTGTTTTTTTTTTTTAATCAATATAAACACAAAATCATAAACAATTAATCTTCTTACATTAATACTTTGCAAGAAGACCATAATAAGTCTCCCACATTTGTCTCTATGCAACTTGCAGACATTTCAACCCAAAAGACGACTTGACTTGACTTGACTTATGGTCCATATCATACTTATGGCTGAACAAAAAAAAACAGACGACTTGATGAGAAAGACTAGAGAGTCTGTAACCCATATCATACGCTCAATCTAACTTTCGCTTAGCACTCACTTGTATAATAAGCTCATTAGATTTAAGGATACTATGGTAGAGTCAAGAGAGAATGGATACGAACAATACCAGAACCCATGTGAAATTTCCAGCTCTTGTAATAGTTTTAGCCGCCCTGGTGTTGATGGAAGAACCTACGAGCATTCCCACATGTAACATCAACGCAAACCATTTGGAGAATGTCGTCCAGCCGTAACTGGAGACAACCCACCATCTCCACGCAAAGAATGTTGTGAAGTCCTCCAAGCCGCTAATCTGGAATGCATCTGCAGATTCAAGTATTTTCTCCCCGTTTTAGCGGTTTACCCATCTAAAGTCCAGGCTCTTCTGAGCAAATGTGGCGTTACAACAATCCCTCCTGCTTGCCAAGGTAAAATCAAAATACCATAACGATACTGGAAACCGGTAAACTAGTAGGATTCAGATATGAGGTAAAGAAAGGCTTACGTTTATTTTGCTCTTGTTTCTGTACCACAGCTTTGAAGAACCGAGGGGGAGACAGACCACTCTACAGCAGACTTCGCTCGATCTTGTCCTGAAACTGATCTGAAGTCTTGCAATATATCTTAAAGTGTTCTGATCCAAATAAATCACAAACTTGAAATGATCTTCGATCAGCTTGTGTAAAAAAAGAAGAACCATGTTATATACATTTAAAGAAAACGTTAAAATACTGTTATTTTGCTACATCATGCCTATCCTACTTTCTTGACTATAAAAAAAACTAACTCATCATGCCTTCCCCGCGGAGAACCCAAATCAATTCTGCAAAACAAAAAAAGAGAGAATCGTTTGCTTATCATGATGAATATTGTAGGCACCCCTGCCCGGATGTACTTATTAATCCGGTTACACATTCTTGATCAAGTGAGGTGCTTTTGCTGCAAAATGTATATATTTGAGTGGTAACTTGTGGTAATAATGGAGGGTATACCTAGCATTCTGGTTGGTTTTCTCGACGAGGTCCACCGAAGATAGGCCTCATGTATGTGTCGTCGAACTTTCTCCAGTAGCGGTGGATGGTGTACACAGGTTGTTCCATCAGAAGGGAGATACTATCTTTTGCTCTATTGAAGTTGGTGGAAGCAGACTCGTCAAAGGAAAGAAGAGGAAGCGTCGCATCTTCCTTTGGGGAACCTGGCTCAGTACGTTTACCTCTATTTCCGGTGTTGTGACTTGCATCATGAGGAAGCAGATAGTTCACAAGTGGCTTTGTGAGGAAACCAAAGACCTGTTTTGTTACATAACAAAGAAGACAGTCTTTTAATCTTAACACAGAAAACTACAAGCAGGTCCATATACTAAGGAAGCAGCGTTCGTTTTACCAGTGTAGTAAAGAGGACAACAATAGTGGTGGTGGTGACCATGGCAGCATTCACAGGATCCAATGTAACACCGGAGTATGTGAACTTGGCACATCAAACATATAAAAAATGAGATATAATGGAAATATCACTAATCCAATAAAAGCAACACCGCAAAGACCGTGGGAATGTCCAAAAAAAAACCTGCTTGAAAGCCAGAGCAATTGAGACAGCACCTCGCATTAGCCCTGCCCACCAAATGATCACCTATAAAGTATACAAAGAGCAAACTTCACAACAGAAAATTATCCATTCTCAGACCATTAATTGTAAAATTTCGAGTCGAGCTGTAGTGATTCTGATAATGTATCTGAAAGAAATAGAAGCTAAACCTGATGCTTAAATGTGATAGACTCGTTTCTTTCTGTGTGTCTATTCATGAAATTTGTTAAGATCGAGAGCGGAAATACAAACGCCGCTCGTCCAAGCAACACTAATCCGGTTATGACACTGGAGACACCCAGAGTACCCCCAACGCTGCACAAAGATGATTAATGTTATAAGTCTTCATTAGGAAGAGATTTCAGTACTTTCATGTCATCAACACAGCTTAAGTAACATGATGAAGAAATAGACGAGGTTGATATCATAAATTCACAATGCTGTGTTTTGTTTTGACAGAACGCCTTAAACGCTCTACCTGATATTCAGATACGACTTTATTGTACCTTAAGCTGCTTGTATTCCACTTGGTAACATCAAGAGCATCTGTTCCAACATACAGAAATATGAATGTCTCCGCAATAAAGGACATCATCGCAAATATATGCCTGCAAAATAGAGATGGACAGTCAGAAAAAAGCATTTCCTGCAATTGAGACTTCAGAATAAGAAAACAATTGTCTGAAACAATGCCTGGAAGTGATTCTCGAACTCTCTGTCACATTATATGATGCATAATGCGACATTAAAACACCACAGAAGAAAACTGTGAGAATCCCACTTAATGAGAAGAGCTGCAAGAAAACAACTACATGGAGTTAAAATAGAGAAAGGCTGCATTTAAATTCCAAATTAACACTAAAAAGTATGTGACCAGTCTATGATTAAAGTTGGATTTAACTAGTTGTCTATTGCAGTAATGGAGTATTACCTCAGCCAACATATATGAAAGGTAAGCCATTAGAACCATGATGGCGAGTTCGCGTGTAGTTGAATGTCTGTACGCAACCATTAGTTAAATAGATCAATATTAAGGCACATTTTAAGAATGCAACTGAAAATTATTGACAACAATTAACTTAAGCTTGAGATGAAATTTTGTAAGTTTGGTGTACTTTTTTACCTTCCAAAATACAAAGTTTTCAGGACAAAAGACGTTACTAGCCCCACCTGTAAGACATTCATCATGATATGCTTCAAATTGAGTAAAAAACTATGCCAACTCAATAGCTTACAGCAATTCCGAGAAGTGTGCTTGTTGAGAAGAGGTACAAAAAGTTCCCAAACACTCGCAGAGCCGTCCAACCGTTTAGGCTTTCAAAATGAATCTTTTGCACGGCGTTGAACAGTACAACCGAGGTTGCATCATTCACTACTCCTTCTCCAAAGACTAAGCTGTATAGCAATGGAGTTTCATCTTGATGGAGAATCTGTAAAAGTTAAGATGCAATGTAAAAAAACTTTTCATATAAACAAGCCCTATAAGAAGGAATCGTAGGAAAAATAATCATTCAAAAGAAGAACCTGTAGAGTGCAGACTGTATCAGTTGACGAGAATATCGTCCCGATGGCTGAATCAAAATAAGAAAACATTCACTCATAAACTGACAAGTACTAACCATCTAGACATGATATGAAAAGAAACATTGTTTGATGACAATATGCTGATAAAAGACGATAGAAGCTTTGTGAGACATCTCACCAAGATAGTCTCGAGCACTCAATCCCTTAAATCCCAACTTGGGAAACAGAAACCAAGTCCCTGGTTCAGATTATAAGATTGCAGAAACTCAGATATGATAAATTTAAATCATAAAACAAGATTGATTATTGTGAAATATTTACCAAACGAAATAATGACAGTGGAGATAAAAACTCCAATCACCCCAAAGGACATGATGGTTAAAAAGTTGTGAAAGAACTTCTTTTTCTTAACTTGGAACCTGCCACAAACCAAAAAATCTTCAGTCTATCTCTATGATAACCCATCAACACGACATAGTTACCAAAACCAGAGTAAGCTTACCCAGCATTGAAAATTATCGGAGGAAGAAGGTAAATGAAGAAGAGTTCTTCATCAAACACCAAAATGTGTGAACTTTTTCCTTTACTAATAAGCAAGATCACTGTTCCTGATAATGCTCCCTGTTTACAACAAAACAATCAAAAATAGTGACAAAATTGTTCTTTACAAGCAAAAAAAGCTCAAAACTTTGTGAACCTGAAACAAACAAAAACCGAAATTTTGAAGAAACTTACGACTAAAATGGCGGTAATGGATTCATTAACCCATCGATTCTCTTCAAGCAAGTGGCCGATGACTAAACAGAGACAGAGAATGGCAATGAACACTGAGATTGGGATCACCTGAGGATGCTCAGCTGCTAGCTTATTCGTCAAAAACTCTGTTAATCCAATACCCATTTTCTCACAGAATCTCGAGAATGTTTTCGATTTCGTCGATTTGGGAATTTTTTAACACACCAAATCGCAAACAGAGAAGGATAGAGAGAGGCAGAGAAAGAGTCTGTGTGAGAGAGAGAGATTTGAACTGCGATGAACAAGGCGGTGGTTACAGGTGGCGAGGAGACGAGGGACACGTGGCATGTTTCCAACGTCATCAGACTGAGTAAACAAATGTGAGGCTTTTTGGAATTATACTGCATCTTGGGCCTTCTAGGCCCAAAACAAAAAACGTTATTCGTAATGTTTTTTTAATTACCAGATTTGAATTGAGGTGTAATTTGCCTAATGTTACACTAAACTTGAATAAAAGATAGTTAAATATTATTTTTTGGGTCTAACTCGCGTAAATTAGCGTTATTTTTCTTAAAAATTTGGTTTTCTCTTGTTTCTTAATTTATTTTTATAAAATTAATTGAAACTTGAAAACCAATCGAAATTAAAAGCATGACCAATT